TTTTACAAAAGTGCCAAAGCATTCAATGGAGATAAGCTAGTCTAAATGATGCTGGACTAACTGGACATCTATTTGCAGAAAAATGAACACAGACACAGACCTCATACCTTACACAAAAATGAACTCAAAATGGATCAGAGATCTAAATGCAAGCAATACTATAAAACCCCTAGAAGAAAACATAGGAGAACATTTATGTGACCTTAGGTTTTCTGATGAGTCTTTAGACACAATACCAAAAGTATAATCCATAAAAGAAAAAATTACCTAGAATTTATTAAAATTAAAAACTTCTGTCCCAGCTGGTCTAGTTCAGTGCATAGAGCATCGGCCCGCAGACTGAAGGGTCCTGGATTTGATTCCAGTTAAGAGCACGTACTTTGGTCACAGGCTTGGTCCCCGGCCCTGGTCTCTCTCACATCTATGTTTCTCTCTGTGTCTCTCCCCCTCCCTTCCACTCTCTCTAAAAATCAATGGAAAAATATCCTCGGGTGAGGATTAACAACAACAACAAAATTAAAACTTCTGCTCTGCTAAATGCACTGTTAAGTGAACAAAAAGACAAACCATAATCTGGGAGAAAATACTTGTAAACCATAAATGTGATAAAGGACTTGTATTCAAAATGTACAAAGAACTCTTAAAACTCACTATAAGCAAACAAACAACCCAACTTAAAAATACAAAAGATCTGAATAAACACCCCATCGATGAAGAGATATAGAGAGATGCCACTACACATCTATTAGAATAGCTAATAGCCAACACACTGATAACATCAAATACTAGTGGGGATGTAGAGCAACAGGAACTCCTTTGTTGCTGGTGGGCATGCAAAATGATACAGCCACTTTGGAAGATAACTTGGCCATTTCTTACAACGCTAGACATATTCTTACAATACATCAAGCAATCATGCTCCTTGGTATTCACCCAAGCTGATTTGAAAATGTATGTTCACAATTGTCAAAACCCATAGAATCTTATAGGACAAAGAGAAAACCCTAATGTATGCAAATTTTAAAAACTTAATCAGGGGGTTGGGGGATATCAGCAAGACATTTATGCTGTGACCAAAGAATCTAGCTCTATTAGAAGTATATGAAACATCCTTACTGAAGGGCATGAGAGAAAAGGTGCTAACCTACATAACGTTGGAAATAAGTGGAGTCTATAAAACTACAGGCAGAAAAAAATATACATAAGCACTGTACTCTGGTTGGTAAATTGTTTCCCATAGGACAGTGGTTGGCAAACTGCGGCTGGCAAGCCACATGCAGCTCTTTGGCCCCTTGAGTGTGGCTCTTCCACAAAAAACCGACTTCTGCGCATGGGCCACGAAGTTTCAATCGCACTGTACATGCAAGCCCGTACGTGGTATTTTGTGGAAGAGCCACACTCAAGGGGCCACAGAGCCGCATGTGGCTCGCCAGCTGCAGTTTGCCGACCACTGCCATAGGATATAGATGAACAGTTATGATGCTGCTATATACGAATTCTGATTTGAATAATTAAGTAAATGGGTGAACAGATGGTGAGAGCCAGGTTTCTCACTGTTGGAGTAGGAATTTATAGATAAGCACAGGGAGGAGGCTAAAATTACCTATGTGATAATGGATTAGTTTTAGACATTTGTGTGAACCAATGTTTAGCTTCATATAGATATAAGTGGTTAGGTATAGAGATATTTAGAAATATGTTTATATACATGGGTTAGTATTTCCTTGCTCTGTCAGCTGAGAGGGCTTAGAAGCCAGTGACAGTGAACACATCTAACAACCAGATTTTGGTTCTAATTTTGTTGTCTCCAATAAAAGGAATGAGAACTCCTTGGAGAAATGGCTAGTTTTAGAACTGGGGCAGGAAATACACAAGATGAGCCTGGAGCATCTTATAGTGCCAGAAAGTAAGAAAGTGCTAAAACAAAAGAAAACAAAAATACAATAATGGGGGTACATTAAAAGGACACAGGAGTCAACTGAAGAACTCCTGATGGCCATAATTAGAACAATTTGAACAACAACAAAAAAGTATTGAGTTATAAGGAAACTATAAAATAAATATTATCAGTGAATCCATACTGATATAAATAAATACGAATAGACAAATCTCTCTTGCAGAAGAATTATATATAATTCCACAGACACTACACTCAGAAGATAGAACATAACTCCCCACCCCTTAGGTGTGGGCTGTGCACAGTGACTTCCTTTCAAAGTGTACATTATGGAAAGAGGAAAAGAGTAACTTTACAAACACTACCTCAGATGATCAAAGTTGATATCAACAGTGGTAAATTATGTTGATGGCATGTACCCTTGACTGTGATGTGATGAGAATTACACTTTCTTACATGGTCTTCCTTCTCAAAACCCATAACCCCAGCCTGATCATGAGGGGAAAAAATCAGACAAATCTCAACTGACAAACATTCTACAAAATACTTAACAAGTACCCATCTTTGATGCCTAGGGCATCTAAAACAAGGAAAATCTGAGAAACTGTCAGGCCAAGAAGAGCCTAAGGAAATATGATGATTAAATTATATTAGTAATTAAATTATATTTAGTAATGTGGTATCCTGGAAGCGATCATGGAACAGAAAAAGTACATTAGGTAAAAACTAAGGAAATCTGAATACACTATGGACTTAACTTAATACTAATGGATCAATATTGGTTCATTGTAACAAATGTACCATACACATATAAGATGTTAATAATTGGGAAAGCTGGATGTGGACTGTATTCACAACTTTTCTGGATATAGTGCAGAACTATTCTAAAATAAAAAGGTTATTTTATAAATCGGAGGATAAAAGTAAAGGAAAATAAAGCACTAACTCAGGAAGTCCAATATTCAACAAGTGGGAATGTCACAAACTCAGAAGAAAACAGAGAAATTATTAAAGAATGATCATCTTTCCCAGAAGTGAGGAATGTGAGTTTCCAGACTGAAAGGGCTTCTTGTCTAGCGTTCAACACAAATAAAAGACAATAAACAACCACACAAAGGTACATTGTAATTATATTTCTCTTCAGACAAATAAAAAACTCTAAATGCATTGGGGAAATGGGGTAGATAAAGGTCACACGCAATGGAACAGAAATTAAAATGCCCCCAAAGTATTACTATACATAGAATGCATTGGGAAATGCCTTAAAATTCTATGGAAAAAAATTAATCCTAGCCAAACTAACAATTAAGTATAATCAAGACATTTTTAGATGAACATGGTAGTAATAAATTCACCTCCAAATACCCTTTCTAAGGAAGCCATGGAGAATGTGCTTCACCAAATCGAAGTATAACCAAAAAGTACCAGTAGAAGACACAGGATCCAGGAAACTGGACTCCAACACAACAGGGAGACAATGGGAATACCTAGGATGATGACAAAGCAAGATCTGGGTGTAGCTGTGTAGCTGTCTTAGACAGCGCCAGTCCAGATCAGAGCCAGAGGATTTCAGGAAAACATAAGCAAACCAAACACACACACACACACACACACACACACACACACACTGGTAAAGTGGTGTGTGTTGAGAGCTTGTTGTAGAGCAGCAGTTCTCAACCTGTGGGTCGCGACCCCTTTGGGGTCGAACGACCCTTTCACAGGGGTCGCCTAAGACCATTGGAAAACACATATATAATTACATATTGTTTTTGTGATTAATCACTATGCTTTAATTATGTTCAATTTGTAACAATGAAAATACATCCTGCATATCAGATATTTACATTATGATTCATAACAGTAGCAACATTACAGTTATGAAGTAGCAACGAAAATAATTTTATGGTTGGGGGTCACCACAACATGAGGAACTGTATTAAAGGGTCGCGTCATTAGGAAGGTTGAGAACCACTATTGTAGATTGTGGAAGAATTATAATAGACACATAGAAAATTAAGCAAATTAACTATGGAGAGGTTATTATCAACAAAGGAAATAAAATCATACCATACTTGGGTTAGCAGGAAACATATAATAATGTAAATACTGATTCAACCAAAAATATTAATAACAATTCTAGGATTAGAAGAGTAGGAGTAGGAATGAAGGAAATGAGCTGAGATGATGGGGGTGCACAGATAAGCCAAATCCTCTCTCAGGGTATTAGTTTCTAAGGGTTGCTGTATCAAATTATCACAAACTAGGTGGCTTAAAACAACAATAATTGATTTTCTCACAATTCTGGAGGCTAGAAATCTGAAATCAAGGTGTCAGCAGAGCCAAGCTCCCTCTGAAGCCTCTAGCAAAGATTCTTTCTGGCCTCTGTTGGCCCCAGGAATTCCTTGGCCTGTGGTTAGCAGAACTCCAATGTATGCCTCCATTTTCACATGACCTTCTTCTCTGCATGCCTCTATAAGGACACCAATCATTGGATGTGGGGATCCCCTTAAATCCAGGGTGATTTCAATTCAAGATCATTAACTAATTACATCTGCAAAGACCCTACTTTCTTTTTTTTAAAATATATTTTATTGATTTTTTACAGAGAGGAAGGGAGAGGGATAGAGAGTTAGAAACATCGATGAGAGAGAAACATTGATCAGCTGCCTCCTGCACACTCACTGGGGATGTGCCCACAACCAAGGTACATGCCCTTGACTGGAATCGAACCCGGGACCCTTGAGTCAGCAGGCCGATCCTCTATCCACTGAGCCAAACCGGTTAGGGCCAAAGACCCTACTTTCAAATGAAGTCACATTCTGAAATTTGAAGTGGACATGAATTTTGGGGGACACAATTCAATCCAGTACCATAAAAGCAAGTCTATGAATAATGCCAGAATTTTACATATCAAGAAGAAAAAGTATATTCTACATGGAAATAAAAATTGCACTAAAACAATTAAAAGTGGTTGCCATTGTGGAGCAGGAATCAAGGGTGGGGAGAGATCAGATGGGGACAGCTAAGTTTTATTTCAAACTATTTAATATTATGTGACTTTCATAACTAAGTATGTGTATTGCTCTTTCCCCCACAGCATAAATCACAGGCTGAGGAAGATCTTTCTGTGCCGTCTGGGGGAGAGAAGATGTGGTTAAAGTCAAGCTGTTCACTCCAGCGAGTCTAAATTCTTACTTGGTTTTGCTCCAGCAGTGTGCTGGAACTTCTCCTCTAGAAACCTGGACTCACAAAGGCTCTCTCATCCGTGAGTAATTGTCTAAGAGGCTGTTTTCCAGGGGTTTCCAGACTGCAGCTGAGGAGGGGCTAGAGCTGGTTTACAGGCCACTGCAGAGTCCACAGCTAGAACGAAGCTTTGTATGCCTGTTACCCAACGCATGAGTGGGTGCGAACCTGGGTCTCTTGGTATATTGGGTCCCACAGCTCACACAAAGGCACTTTTGTCTGTGGATAAATGACAAATTATTATTGTGGTGAGGGTGGGTGACAAAAGGGATGCTTTATTCCAGCAGGAAGCTGATGTCATTCTTTTTGAGCCATCTTTTCATTTGGTTTTCTGACATTTCTACATTGCTGCTTAACAAAAAACAGAAGCCCTTTGTAAGGAGAGCTCTGAGAAAATATAAATATAGATTTTTGACATGGATGTTAATATAGCTAAACATTTCTCTGGCAATTTTCAGAGAAGAGGGAAAAAGAGGCGTCCATGCTAGAAACCTTGCAAATGAGAATGAAGTCAAGAGGAGACAACAGGGCTAAGTGAGCAAGCAAGTCTTTGTCACTTGCCAACCCCCACAGCTGCTTAAGGAAAACTGGTCTCCCCTGAGGGAGAAAAAGGATTGCAGAGGGAACACAATTTCTTAATCTGTGACTTGTTTTTCGTCTTGACTTTGCCTGGATCAGTGATTTTCGGTAAGCCTGTTCTCATGACTAATTTTGCACTAATCGAGATGAGATAGAGTAGAGAAAGGTGTAATATTATGGTGTAAGCAATAATTTCTTAAGGCAATTCCCAGGAAGATTATTTCTCTTCAGCACAATCTCTGCCTCAGGGGCCAGACTGAGCAAGACTTTGGAAGTACTCAGTTTACTTTCGACACTCTTTTCCTGCCCTTTTTTCCTGCCATTTTTCTCCTTTCCCCCGTCAGATAGCCGTTCCACTCAGTGCCTCGTGACCATTAGGACTACACACGCACTCAAACAGGGCCTTCTGTCCCACACCGAGTCTTCCCCACCTCAGCTGCTCCATACATTTAACACATATGCATTGGGGCATAATGTACGCATGTCACCGAGAAGGTCCTGAGGATGCAGTAGGATGTGTTGGACAAGGGCTCATAGGCTAGTTATGGAGACCTACAGTGCCCTGTGTTCCAGTAGGGTCCACTAACCTATGTGAAATTATATAAATGACACCTTACTAGTACTCTACATCTGAGGAGTACCTGCATTTTAAGAGGATCTCCAGAAATGAAAAACTCATCCTAAAAAAGATAATTCCCCTGATGGTGGAAATTTTAGTAGGCAACAGGCTCATGAGGGAGTTATGCTAGGGCCAGAAGGTATATTTCAGAGCAGACCATGAAGAGAATTACTTACACCAAGTCAAGCAGTCTCCACAAAACATGTAAAATTCTTGTTAAAAATGTACTAACTAGCTAAATACAAGGATAAATAGGTAAGCAGAAATGGATAATGGATAAATACACAAATGGTCTGGGAAGTTTGCTGATGATGACTTAAATGACATCTCGTCACATTTTTGTTGTTGTTAATCCTCACCCAAGGATATTTTCCCATTGATTTTCAGAGAAAGTGGAAGGGGTGGGGAGAGACAGAGAGAAACATCGATGTGAGAGAGACACATCTATCGATTGCCTCCCGCATGTGCCCCAACCAGAGCCAGGGATCGATCCTGCAACTGAGGTATGTGCCCTTGATGGGAATTGAACCCAGGACCCTCCAGTCCGTGAGCCGACAGTCTATCCACTGAGCCAAACAGGCCAGGACTCATCACATATTTAATATACAGAATTGTTGACAGGTATTGGAAAACCGACCAGGCCAACTGGGAACACTGAAGATACCGTGGAAATGGAAGAAAGCAGCTGTGACTGCTAGGGGTGGGGATCAAAATAAAGAGAAGAGTTTGGATATTAACTCTTACAAGCTTGAAGGAGAAGTCTTTAAGGGCTGGGACTCAGAGACTTCTGAGGAAGTCTGCTCAGCAGTTAGTCGGGCTAGAGGTGTTTGGAGGAGGGGCCACAGATCTGGACTGAGACCTCTGAGGAAGGGACATGAGTTAGCAGGGGCTGGTGTCTCTGGCAAGGTGCAATGGAGCTGGTTCTAGGAGTGTTGGGGAAAATTGCAAATTAGAATCAACTTGGCTAATGGATGGCACTGTACTCAAGGTAAAGATCCTTCGCTAGGGTGATGGGAGAGGAGTGGGAAACAGGTAAGGAGGAGCCAGGCCTTTCTGCTTCCTCTAAACTTGCAGGCTCTGTTCAGTACCACCTATTGAGAGGGCCTGGCAGGGGTCTAGCTGGCAAAAGAGTAGTGGGCTTTGCAGAACCTGGCCTCAGCATCATAAAGGTGAACAGAGAAGAATGTGTTTGAAGCTAAGGGACAGTAGCTTAATAACCAACACATATCTTAGATTTTAGTGTTTTCTACTTTTATTTTTTTAGAAATCTTCTTTGCTTTCAAATAAGTGATTTAAAACTTAAAATGATATTTTTAAAAAGTTACCTCTGACTGATATAACATTCACTTTATTAGTCATCATTGTTCCACATAGAAATTAAATCCTCATTTATTGAAACAAAATATATCCATTTATTAAGAGCTATTATTCTCTTAAAGAAAGTAAATATATCTAGGGAGTTGCTACTTCATTATAAGGTTTGGGAGACACATTTTTCCCCAGATGGACATGATCAGAATTTGAATTGTGTAATAAAAATGTGTAGATTTCTCACCCTGGCTGGTGTTGCTTATCGAAGGGTCTTCGGTTTTTTTTCCTGGTCAAGGGCATGTACCTCGTACCTCGGTTGGAGGTTCACTCCCCACCCCGTGTTGGGGTGCATATGGGAAGCAACCAGTTATCTCTCTCTCTCTCTCTCTCTCTCTCTCTCTCTCTCTTTCTCTTTCCCACTCCTTCCCTCCCTCTTTTCTACTCTCTCTGAAAAGCAATAAAAAAAATATCCTCAGGTGAGGATTAACATACATACATACATACATACATACATACATAAGTAGATTTCTCAAAAAATGATAAATCACAGCACTCAGAACATATCAAAATGAAGTTTAAAAAGGAAATGACTCTGCCAGAGAGTACTGAGGGCTGCTGTGTACATACTCAAGTCTTTGGGGATAGATATATATATTGCAAACGCTGGTAAAACATTCCTGCAACAATGTAAACAAGAGCATCAACAAAAACTTACTGAGAGGTTACCACACGCCAGGCACTATTCTAAGTGCTTAGCATAGTTTAACACATTTAATCCTCATAAGGACTCTAGAAAGCATCTTTATTTTACAGACTAATCAACTTGCCAAGGGTCACACAGCTAATTAGTGGCACAGCCAGGATTTCGACCCTACAGTCTGGCTCCAGGACCCATACAGCTAGCTTCTATTCTATCAGTCCTCAACAAAGTATTCTCATGGAAATTTATATATTTCTAGAAAATTCCTAAATCTAAAGCTGTCAAATGTCTTCTCTTAAAAGATAATTATAAGAATAAAGAAAACTTGCCAAGGAATAACATTGTCAGAGTGAACATTTATGAAAAAGAAACATAGTCCACATCTCCCTCAGGCACGCTACCAACCTACTGGAGGAATGGGCCCCAAACTCTGCAAGTTCTGTGCAGTGGGCGGTGCTGCCATCCAGTTCCTATAGTAACACAGGGCACAGGAACATCCAGTGCAGGCCTAATATGTTATATCATTTACATATCAAGTCACATCATGATATGGAAATAGCAAACTTACATAAAACAAGAAACTTATCATTATCTCTAAAAGTTTATGCAGAGAATAAGAAGCCAGACTCAAAAAGAGTATATATAGCATGATCCCATTTATATGAAACTCTAGAACAAGCAAACCTAATCTATACTGATAGTGCATCATTTCTTTCAGGGACCTGGGTTTATTGACTGACAAGAAGTACAAGGGAAATTTTGAAGTGTTGTAATTGTTCTATACCTTGAGTGTCATGGTGGTTCTGTCATTTGTCAAAACTCATGGAACTTAGCCCAGCTGGCATAGCTCAGTGGTTGAACATCAACCTATGAATCAGGAGGTCACACAGTCTGATTCCCGGTGGGGCATGCAGGAGGCAGCCGATCAATGATTCCCTTTCATCATTGATGTTTCTGTCTCTCTCTCCCTCTCCCTTCCTCTCTGAAATCAATAAAAATATATTTTAAAAACACTCATGGAATTATATACTTAGGATATATACCTTTTGCTATATGTATACTTAGAATATATACCTTTTGCTATATGTAAATCATTCTTCAACAAAGTTTATAGGAAAAACATTACTACATTCTATTTCTAGAGAAAAAAGTTTAATTTGTTCAACATATCTTTATTGAGTGCCTACTATGTCCCAGCTCTCTCCTCTAAGTTTTATATCAATAGTGAACAAAACAGATAAAGATCCCTACCTTCATGGAGCTTACATTCTAGCAGGGGGGAAAGGGGCATAAACAAAAATTAGGAAAAAAATAAGGAAATTATATAGGTCTAGTCACCTCATATCCCACAGAGGAAGAGGCACGCCCCTCCAGGATGAGTAAACATGGTGGGCATAGACCTAAGCCAGGGACTGGGCCTGGTACACCTATTAGCAAAGAGGAGTGCATGTTTCCTAAAGAATTTATCAAGAATCTAACAGGGCCTCCCAAATCAATAACCAAGTGCCCAGAATTCAAGAAAATGGCCCCACAAAGAATTGCTGAAGGATCTGATGGTGATAGAGCCAAAGGCAACTGAGAGAGAGAGAGAGAGAGAGAGAGAGAGAGAGAGAGAATATATATATATATATATCTACACTAATAAAAGAGAAACATGGTAATTGGCGTACGACCGCTACCCTTTTCATTGGCTAATCAGTGAGTATATGCAAATTAACTGTCAGCCAAGATGGCGGCCGGCAGCCAGGCACTGAAGCGAGCACGAGGCTTGCTTGCTGCAGACTCCAACATTCCCCGCCTCACTTGCCAGCCT